CGTCCCTGACGCCCGGGTTTAATTGAAATGTCCACGTTCCAATCGCCGGCCTGCTGTCAGTCCGACTCGGTGACTGGCCGCGCAAAAGTGTGGGGTAGGCAGCAAAAAGCTGGAGAAGCAGCTGTGAGGCCATTGACAGTCGCTTCACATCCTGAGCGACACTGGACAGGCACAGGATGCATGAGGTGGGGAGGGTTTTGCAGTTTTATTGGCGCAGTCAGTAGAACGAACTGTTGGGTCAGTCGTCATCAAAACACATCTTTGGAACCGGTCTGCTGCACCACCTCCCTCATATGTCTTGGGACGTGTTACCGAGATTTGCTACCAAGTTGTTGTTGAGTGAGCTTGGCCACTCGGGACTATGGTAATACACATTACGAGGAACGGGGTATGCTGCACATATATGTTCAACTGAGACACATTGGACATGAGGTGGAGTTGAGCAGATGATTTGGATAGGTATCAGACATTATTGAGGTTGTGAGCGGATCAACAATGCGTGGTGGTGGTGCACCGATCATAGGTAATTCGAAGCTGAGTGCATAATCCACGGGCAATGTATTGTGTGTGAGTGTGTACACAGGTAAGCTCCCCTAGCTCAACCACTGCAAAGTTGTCTCTATCGAGAACTCATTCACTTCTTCCGCCCGAGTAACAACTGCTCAGGACTCCTTTTCTTCCAAAATCTTCAGCAAAAGGCACCAATCATGATACCAACCAAGAAGCACACATTCCACAGTCATGCACGATAAGACATTGCTGTCGGGTCGTGCTGCACTGAGCCCGCTGGATTGGACATCGGTCGCTTATCAAGGCACCGCACAGCGCTGATCCGCTGATCGGGTGCTCTCTCGGGCGGGTCTTGCATCCCCGAAGGCGCTGGTGCCGCTACCTCAACCGATCCCTTAAGGTACCAGCAGCACCTTTCCAGCTGTCCCCCACCAGAGTCATCCTTGCAATTAAGGTCGTCATTCGAACTCTACCCCCGTCAACCTGCAGATTCCCGTCCTACCCGCTTCAGAGCTTCCCAGATTACATTCCATTGCTTCAACCGAAGAAAGCCACCACCGCACTCCTCACGACCGATCGTACACACAAGCCTCGAGCTTCTAGCGTCCATCGCCGTGTGCGCCCGAGTCTCTTCCAACAGTATTCTGAGACCGCCCTGCCATGGCATCGCAATAAAGCTTTCTCTCTGCCTCTGATTAAGCTTCAACGATCACGAACATGGCTTCTGGTAGGTGGCCTGACGAACAGCTCTGCCCGGCCTCGACATTTTGTCTCCGAGCTTGAAACTGACTTGTCTTGCCTCCATCTAGTCCGAATCTGCGTTTGCGGTGACGAGGGCACCGGAAAGTCCAGCCTCATCGCCTCGCTGGTCAAGGACGTCTTCATCTCCAACAAGATCCAGGCCGTCCTCCCCTCCATCACCATCCCTCCCCAGCTCGGGACCCCCGAAAACGTTACCACCACCATCGTCGATACCTCCGCCCTGCCTCAGAACCGCACCACGTTAAGGAAAGAAATCCGCAAATGCAACGTCATCCTCCTCGTCTACGCCGACCACTACAGCTACGAGCGTGTGGCTCTCTTCTGGATGCCGTACTTCCGATCCCTCGGCGTCAATGTCCCGGTCGTCCTCTGTGCGAACAAGTCCGATTTGACTGGCGATGGAAATACACCGCAGGTGGTCGAGGGCGAGATGCTGCCCGTCATGGCCGAGTTCCGCGAGATCGACTCGTGCATCAGGTCGAGCGCGAGGGAGCACCGGAACGTCAACGAAGTTTTCTTCCTGTGTCAGAAGGCCGTCACCCACCCCATCGCCCCGCTATTCGACTACAAAGAGGGGAACCTCAAGCCCAACTGCGTTGATGCATTGAAGCGTATTTTCTACCTTTGTGACAAGGACCAGGATGGCTTCCTCAATGACCAGGAGATGCACGAGTTCCAGGCCAGGTGCTTCGATAAGCCGTTGACCGCCGAGGATCTCGAGAACATCAAGCTTTCCATCACGAAGACACTGTCGGCTTGGTCGGCAGAGAAGGGCATAGACCAGAGAGGATTCTTGCAGCTGAACAAGATTTACGCCGAGAAGGGCCGCCACGAGACGATATGGATCATCTTGCGCAAGTTCCGCTATACCGACAGCTTGAGCCTAGAGGACAGCTTCTTGCGCCCCAAGTTTGATGTGCCAGAGTACTCTTCGGCAGAGCTGAGCCCTGCCGGCTACCGCTTCTTCGTGGACCTTTTCTTGCTGTTCGATAAGGACAACGACGGCGGTCTGAACGACAAGGAGCTGGAAGCCCTCTTCGCACCTACACCCGGACTTCCTGTTTCCTGGGTTGAGACGTCGTTCCCATCTTCAACTGTACGTAACGAGGCAGGGCACGTCACTCTGCAAGGGTGGCTGGCACAGTGGAGCATGACGACGTTCATGGAGCCCAAGACGACGCTTGAGTATCTTGCGTATCTGGGCTTTGAGCCTGCAAACCCACGTGAGACAACTACCGCTGCTCTCAAAGTCACCAAGTCACGCAAGCGCAGAAGGCGCCCGGGCAAGGTCGAGCGCAACGTGGTGCTTTGCTACGTCCTCGGTGCCTCTGGGGCTGGCAAGTCGTCGCTGTTGGATGCGTTTCTGAGCCGCCCTTTTGACAACCTGTATCGGCCCACGATTAAGCCACGGCGGGCTGTTAACAGCGTCGAGCTTCCGGGTGGAAAGCAGTGCTACATGATTCTCGAAGAGCTCGGCGAGTTGGAGCCTGCCATCCTAGAAAATCAGGCCAAGCTTGACGCCTGCGACCTGATTTGCTACGCGTACGACTCGTCGGATCCCGACTCATTCTCGCACATTGTCGAGCTGCGCAAACGCTACCCGCAGCTTGACGAACTCCCCAACATCTACACCGCCTTGAAGGCGGACAAGGACAAGACGATGCAGCGCAGCGAGATGCAGCCGGACATGTACACGTCGAACCTCATGATGAGCACTCCGCTTCACGTCACCGTCAAGTGGAACAACATCAGCGAGCTCTTCATCGCCTTGGCCGACGCGGCAACCAACCCGAGCACCGCTTTTCCGAGGAGCGAGGAGCCGCCTCCGGATAGGACCAGTCTGTACCTCGCGCTGGGCGCTACGGCGTGTGCTGGCATTGCCGCATTCATGATTTGGCGGCGATCGACAACATCAGCTTAGAGGGCACGGTTGACCAGTGCCGTCCACACTTTCAAATTGCGTTTCAGGGAGTTGGCGCGTATTCTGGAGTCTTGATCATTGCCCGTTGGAACACACAATTATGATACCCAACTCCGCCCTACATATAAACAACAGGATCTTAGTCTCTAATCAACCTAATTGTAACATTATCTCCGGCAAGTTTCTCTTGAGGATCCTATTCGTGTAAGATAGTTCTCTGGTGTCGGTAGTAGTATGTATTCGATTCGTATTAGCAAACCAACCATTGCTCTGACATGCGACGACGTTGTTGACCTGTTGGTTGCTTACTCTCGCAGTGACAATAGCCCAACCGCCACAAATCTTGGGTTATTTCGGCTGCTTCATCGCCGTTTCCTCCACAACCTGTCTGTTCACACTAGACGTTCCGATACACAGAACTCGTGGCTGTCAAAAGAGATGACCAAAAACACATATCAAAAAAGAAAAGAAAAACGGTAAAAAAAAGGTTGCCCGGCGGTTGGACCGAGCCTGATTCGAACGACCGGGCCCGGCGGCATGTGCCTTTGCTGCCAACCCAGCAAGCAAGGCCTTTCGCCACTACGGCCAGGCCAAGTCGAACGCCCTAAAGGGTAGAGGATCTGGGTCCTGATTTTTGTTGCGGATTTGGGGCGCTGGAGGGGGTTATATAGTGCTGTCCCTCCCGTGCTCGAGGTCAGGGTGGACAGGGGATGCGCCTCGATGTCGGGCTGGGCGTGAAGGGGTTCACGGTGGTGGCTTATTATTTAGGCATGGAGGCGAGAGAGAGAGAGAGAGAGAGAGAGAGAGAGAGAGAGAGAGAGCACCGAGAATTTGGCCGCGTCAATGGTGAAAGACCAGACTTGTTTCTCACGGTGTTTGCTAGCTCTTTGCCATGGAGTAAAGGCAGTTGCTTGGATCTAGAAAGAAACATTGAGAACCTGCCCCGACTCATATTACGTCCTTTTGTGTAAGCATCTGCCTACCTCCTTCCGTTCAGGTAGTGGCTTCAGGTAAGCTCGGAAAGTTGGGTGGCACACCAAATGGTCAGATCTTGGGATTGTGTTTGTGCCCAGGAAAGACAAGATGAGGACGCACGCCAGAATACTATCCATCTGCCTGCATGTAGTAGATCATCGTGGGTCTGGGGCATGACACCTGGGGTCCGCCTGCTTGTCTTGGATCTGCGAGTTAGTTGCATGATGTTGAGATACTACGAGGCCCGCGTGTGACATGACTGTCTCAGTAGACTTCTCGTCCGGAATATCACAGTGCTTTGGTTATGACGACCTGCATATCGAGTACATCGTGGGCGCTCATCTAGATGCGGATCCTGGTGGCCCTCAGGAATTCTCGCTGATTACCGAAACAGACTTCAGTCGCCCATTCCTAGACAGAAACCAAACACGGGAGGCCCCGCCTGGAACGAAACTCCAAACAGAACATCATGAAATGGTATTGATGCTAGCTTCCAGCCGTGTACGGAAGGGCGTAAACATAAGAAAAACGAAAAGGAGAACCATATATATCGTAAAGCCCGACACAGGGAATCCTACGCATTCCAGCCGTATGTAACACTGCATGGCTTTGTTTCCCGACTGCATTCCCAACCTGGCCGGTGAATCCCATGACACAAACCCAAGACCCGCCTACCAGAAAAGAACCCGAAATGTCTCAGACTCACATCTTACACTTTTTGTACCCGTAACAACCCAACCAACCCTTGTCGTTCAGAAGAGGAAATGGAATCCCATAAATAAGCTGTCGGTCCGCCGTAACGTCGTTTGCATGTAGTCACCTTTGCTCTTCGTCAGTTCATCAGTCGGCCCCCGTTGACGGGGATGACCGTGCCCGTAATCCACCTGGACTCATCGCTCGCCACGAAGGCGACAACGTCAGCAATGTCTTCAACGGCGCCCAGCCGCGCCTCCGCGGGCGTGAGCGTCGCCCGCTCCAGGTCCGCGCTGCGCTGGTCGTCGGGCAGCGAGTCGAACATCTCTGTTTTGACGGTCCCGGGGCTGATGCAGTTGACCGTGACGCCGTGCGCCTGGCCCATCTCGCGGGCGGCCACGCGCGTGAAGGCCTCGACGGCCGCCTTGCTGCCGGCGTAGGCCATGCTGCCCGGGGTGTCGGCGCGGGCCGCCACGGAGGAGATGTTGATGATGCGCCCGCCCGGGGCGATGTGGGCCTTTGCAGCCTGCATCATGAAGAAGACGGCGCGGGTGTTGGTGTTGAAGATGCGGTCGTAGTCCTCGGGGCTGGTGTCGTCGAGGGTCGCGGTGAGCGTCGCCGCGGCATTATTGACGAGAATGTCAATCTTGGTGACGCCAAAGGCCATCATGGCGCGCTTGACGACCTTTTCCTGGTGCTTGGAGACGTCGGCCTGGATAGCCGTGGCGGAGGACCCGCAGGCCTCGATCTCGGATATGACCTCATGCGCCTTTGCTATTGAGGACGTATTGACGAAGGTGAATGCGACCTTTACTCGCGCGAATGATATAACTAACTTTAGCCGCTGTTCACACTGCGAGCGAGAAGAGTGGAATCGGTAGACGCACTCTGGCACCTTCCCGGGCAAGCTTCAGCGCGATGGCAGCTCCGATGCCTCGCGCGCCGCCGGTGACGAGGGCGACTTTCCCGGACAGGGACATGTTTGGGGGCGGAAGCTGGGGCAGCGGTTTCGTCCACAGGTTCGTCGATGAGGCGCGCCTCGCGCTGTCGTGACTTTCCTTTTCGTCGTTATTGAGCTGCGACGATTGTATTGCCTGCTGGGGCGGTTGGGGTTGCGTTTGTTGGCTTAGCACCTTGCTCAGTTGGCTCTGTAATAGTGGCGGGTCAGCATTGAGCAGCTCTGAGGGCATTCGAAGGCGGAATGCCGGCGTGGTGCAGTAGAATACCGGCATAGTCTGACTTTGAAGCCAGTGCGTAACGGCTCGGAAAGCCATTTGACTGGGATCCGTAGTCATGGCATTCTTTTCAGTGCGTGCGACGTCCATGCAGATATGGGTTGTGCTGCGCAATTCTGGGTGTTTGAGAGGTGTGATGACGAAGTATGTATGGTGCTTTGCATTGCGGTGCGGTGCGGTGCGGTGCTCTGCTGCTTGGAGCTGCCAGGAGCTGCCACACCACACCCAGACTGCTCCAGCCAACGTCAGCCTGGCCAAGGCCTCCCGTGCGCTCCAGAGGGGAACTCTGAGGTGCTCTGAAGTGTCGATCGCGCTGGATGACCAATGCAAGGCCGAGGCCAGACCACCTTCTGTCCCCCCTTCAACTCTTAATCCGCCACATCCAGTGGCTGTCTGTATCGTTCAGCATATGCCGTCCAACGATACGCCGAATGGACCGATTGGCATGCAAGGAAGAACGCAGACCCTGGGCGTTGCATCTGTGAGGGTGCGCATTTGGGGTATCAAGCCACACACCACTTGGTCGAGCCGTCACTTGTCTTGCGTGTGTGTGATTCTTTGGTCCGGTGTTGTTATTTGGGAGCATCCGTCCTTTCGACGACAGTCAGATACTGACGCCAACCCAGCGCAGCCTGGCACATGGATTTGGGATTCTGCGAGAATTGGGGTGGTTGATCGCTGGATCGACGGCACTTGCGCGCGCTGGAACATGCACACACCACGAAGCATGATTGCAAACTTTTGAGTCATTGAGGGATTTCCGCGTGCAGGACGTGATGACGGAGGCGAAGAAGATAAGATGACGACAGGAGATGTTCCGAGGATATGAAATCCGCTCGTCGTTGAACGACGCACAACACCCGGTCGTGGTCGTGATGGCAGTAGCCAGCGGCGGCCAACGGTCAACGGGCGGCGACCGGCGCCGGGTCTTTATCAGTGGCGGACAGCAGGCGGCAGATGGATGGGATGGCATGCCGCATGCAACGCTCCGATCGCAGCTGGCCTGCTTCTGGTTGGCTGTTCCACAAGTTGGTCTTTTCAGAGCCGGCTAGGGCGCTTCGCCGTTGGATGCGATGGCGAACAGGGGCGGGCGCCTCATACCGCAGTACATAGTATATGCGGATTAAAGACGGCAGGTTGTGCACTCAGAGACCACCTCAGTGGAAGAGGCCTCGGTGTTTAAAATGAGATTACCGATTCAGGTCGGCCTGGGCTGGCGCAGTGGATACAGGGCTGGTTAGGCCTTGAAATCAAAAGAGACCCCCGGGCCCAAGGTCGCAAAGGGGCTCAAGGGGCGAAAGTGGGAGTCTGGGAGATGACCCCGAGGGTACGGAGACGACGGCCGGCAGCGCCGGTGGTGAATAGGGGCCCGAGGCGGTGACTGGTGACATGGCCGTCGGGCCACCACCACATCCACAGGCCAAGAGGTGGCCAGTCTTCAGCGCGCTGGCGTGAAGCCTCCAGCCCCTCGTCTCCAGTTCCGCCCCAGCGTGCAATTCTTCGAGAAGGACATGGAACACCGGGGTCGACCGTCAGACCCAGCATGCCTGTGGGTAACATTCCTCGAGCCTCAAGCCCCGGAGGAGTCGAGATTCGGAAGACTGCGCTGGCGGCGAGTGACTCCTCCCACTCCGAACTCGACCAGTCACGCCAGTCAACCCGCGGGCAGCACCCGATGATGAGAAAAAGGCACGTCCTTAGCTGAGGAGAAAGGTGCTGTTCCCTGGCATAAAGCGACGAGTTATTCTGGGGGGTTGCCTCGGGCCAGGTTGGTGGTCTGGGATGGACCCCGTATGTTTGGCACCAATGGGGGCCGCGTTAGTCTCGATTCTCGGTAGCAGCCCGCAGCGACACCCGATGCTGTTTCGATGTCATTTCGATGGGCGACCAAGAGCTAGGCCGAAAGGCGAGAAAGCGGTGCCATCAGAGATATCGGCTGAAGAGAGGCATCGTTTCCATGCGTCGCCGCAGAGGCTAAGTCGGGACTTGATACACGGCAGGAGCTTCCGCAAATAGAGGACCAGTGATGTTGGTCCCGGTTGCACATCATGAGCTTCTTTTCTTTGGTCGGGTGTCCCTTGCGCGGGCCAGAAGTTGGTCGTGGTAGTGAGGGGCGCGAGAGATGCTTTGGGAAGAGAGCAGCTTCGGATTCAGCTCTGGTTAGAGAAGGACGCGTACAGAAAAAGTGTAGACTTCGTATCTCGTTTTCTTGTTTCACGGCCGAGCGCCGGATTGTGCAAGCAGAGTTCCTGTGGTCTCTTCTTTTGACGGCGTTGATGGAACGACTTGTGCGGTGCATCATCCATGCCAACACCACCACCACCGCCCACTCAAATATCCGAACCCTGGGGTCGCCATCTGGCTTTCAGAGTAGAGTCAGCCGGAGGCAGTTGATTTGCCTCGTCATCCGGTGTCAGTGTGGTCTTGGCTTGGGAGCGTCATGTGCGGTACGAAGTTCTTTTAAATGAGGCAGCGGTGCGGTTGTCAGTCATGTTCCGTTGATGACTGTCGCGCGTCGTGTCTTGTCGTGTCGTGTCGCTGGCGGCCCCCGGTTCCTTCTCCATGGGCATGGCATAACGGCAGCCAGTCAGTTCGCAAGCCGCAGCCAGGGGGCTCTGTCTCCATGATGTACGTAAGGGAACGGACGGTACGGATTTAACTCAGGCCACAGACCCGAGGAGGGCAGTCCATCAATCAATGTGGTGTACCTGAGCCGGTACCTGACTGACTGCAATGTGCCAGCTGCATGAGTGAAAGGCAATTCGTCGTTCGTCTCCAGCGTGGGAGTGCTTGCTTGCTTCAAGCGTCTGCATCCCTTCCCGCCGTCCTTCCTTCCTCTTTCGTTCCTCGGTTCGCGCCATGGCCTCTATCGATTCATAAAAAAAGGAAAAAAGAAAACAGGCAGAAGAAAGAAGGACCAAGACTGATTGATCTGTTGGTCTTCTCTCCCTGTTCCATAGCGCGCTATCAATCTGTACTAAGGTATTCCTTAGTGCCGGCCCTGCTAGTCATTCCCCAAGACCAACTCAAAAACCAGGACGAGCACGCACTTGTAAAAAAGTGACGAGTGACGGACCAGTGGCAGGCAGACAGGGCACGTGACAGGGAGGCGCCCATTCGAGGCAGACCACTTTGGCTGGCCGCTTTGCAAAGCAGCGAGCACCCAGTTTGATTGCGCTAATGCAGTCTGGGTGGCGCCCCTCACGCTGGAGTACATGCCTGGTGCTGCCATTGGCTTGTACTCGGTACTTGTCGCCCGCTGCCTCCACCTGGTTGGTCCCAGCAGACCGCCTACCCGCGACAGCCCGCGACCGCCCATCTTCAGGGGTCGGTCTGGCCCTCTGGCGCGAGTACCTATTTGCAGAAGGTATCCAGCTACCTGGCGGCCCAAGTACCTGATCTCCACGAAGTGACCTCGACCTTGGTAGCGCCGCTTTCACGGCCTGTCCATCGTTCTCGCTCGCTCTGTGTCTTCTGTCCGTTCTCCGAGTACATTCACCTGCAGTAAGGGGTGGAATTGACTTGCACCAGCGCCTGCACTGCCCGAACGGAAATCCCAATCCCATTTTCCCAAGACATTTCCTACCACCACCTGGACCCCAAAGTCAAGTCCCAAGGCCCCGAAAACCCAAAAAAGACTGGACGGCGGAACAACAAGCAGCGGTCGGCAAGGGACTGGGCATCTACTACCATCTCGTCGTTCGTACCTACCTACCTACTTTGTATCCGTACCTAGACCTATGGAGGCCACCACCAAAAACTAGACAACCGCCAACCACTCATTACATCCTCCTCCACCACCACCACCACCATCACTTACGGTTCCTGCTGCCACGGCCCGTGCTATTGCTACTACTACCTCCTACAACACAACCACAACAAGCACAGCAGCAGCACGCCAACCGTCTACCCGCCGTGACGACGTGCCCCGTCCTGGCCTGTTCTGTCCTTGTCCTCGCCTATTCCGCGCTCCCAACAGTCTTTTACCGCTTGCTTTTTCTCCCGTTCGCAACGGTCGACTACTCCAGTCTTTCCATCCTTATCGCCAGTCACGTACACCCCGGGCACCTGCGCACCGCTCCAATAAACCCTCGCATGCGATCCCGACCACCGCGACCAACCTTGGAATAGATACATGTATCTGTATCCCAACCCGCAACAACAACTCGCCCCCTCGACCCTCGTTTCCTCCCCGAGTCTCGCCGCGCCTATGCTACCACCTACCCCAAACAGATGAGAGCTTGCCGACAAACTCTTTCAGAACGAGATACTTGCCAGACAAGTGGTGTTTTCAAGGGAATCGCTGGCTTTTCGGCCTCCCTGCGGATCTTTCACTTTTCTAGATGATGGTGCGTCGCCCACCACCACGAACCCTCGCCCCGATACTCCCCAGCGCTTTGGAGGCTCCTTGATTCTCGTCCAGACTTTTTGTCACTGCCTCTCCATCTTCACCACCTGACGGCAGTCTCGGCCGCTCCGGCTCGTGGCTCTGCGCTCCTCTTCCACATCACAGTCGTCGCTAACCCGTTGCCCCCTATGCAGACCTCATCTAGACCCCGCGCCGATGTTGGTGGCAGCTTTGCGAGTCGACGCGGTCATGCCAGCCAGCTGTCAATTTCAGACCCCAGTCACCATGTGACTGAGGCTATTGGGACCCTCTACGGAGACGACAATTACGATCAACGCATGAGCATGCTGGGTCAATACTCTGACCAGTACGAGCCCGAGCCAGAGCCCATCGAGGA